AGCTTACAGGAATGGAATTGTCAGATTGAAAGGGGGACTCACACCCAAACTGCCTTTATATGCACTTCACCCCCCCCACTCTCACCTATCTTCTAGTCTGTTGGAGGAGAGGAGCCTTGCTCTCTCTCTGTGCATCTGTGTTCAGGCTGCCCCTTCTAGAGGGGATGTTGTTTAGAGAAGGGAAGACTGGGGGAGTATCTAATAAATCTTCAAATATGTAAAAGGCTGATAGGAGGAGGAGGATCAGTTTCTCTGCATGTTCAGTGAAGGTAGGGCAAGAAATAATGGGCTCAGGGGAGTCAACAGCCACGCCAGATCCCTGGGAGAGGTGTGGGTGGGTGTTTCTGATCTCCCAGAAGGGGCGAGACCCTGGGCAGAATAGGCTGGACTGGGGCAGCCAGCCCTCTGCGCCACTTGCAGTGCCCTGTGCTGGCTCCCAGTGGCCCTTAGAGCTGCCCAGAGCATGCAGCGCTCTAGTAGCGGTTTAAAGGCCCCAGAGCTCTGGGAACCACCACTATCATGGTAGCAGCAGTGATTGCCAGGAGCCCTGGGTTCTTTAGAATCACCAGGCCTGGGGGCAGATGCTCCTTTTCCCCTGTACTCCCTGTCAGTGGGCTTGAATGGGCTTAGTTTGCAGCAAGGGAGATTTAGCTATTAAGGAAAATGTTTAAGGGGGCTAATTATAAGCGCAGCTAATCTCTGAAGTAGGCTTCCAAATAGGATTATGAATTCCCCTTCATTGGAGGTATTAAAGAACAGGTTAGACAAACATCTGTCAGGAATGATTAGACATATTTAATCCTACCTCAGAGCAGGTGGATAGATTCAGTGACTTCTCAAGGTCTCTTGCAGCCCTACATTTCAATGGTTTTGTTTGATGCCTTTATGTCCTTGAAGGCAAAGATTTGGTATATACTACTATGTTAACCAGGGCTGGATTAACATTTTGTGGGCCTGGTGCCAAACATATTTGTGGGCTCCCAAGTAACCATTATTGGCTCTTTCCATGTGTGGGCCTGGTGTGGCAGTGCTATAGTTTACTTAGTACTGAGTCTGAGGCATTTTTCATTTTGATCACACACCTTTGCAAGATTGTACATACTACTATACACCGCTCCCTCAGCCCCCAGTTTTTCTTATTGAGCTGTACACCTAGGCTGCGTCAAGTCTGCAAATTTTTCCACAAAAGCAACTGCTTTTGCGGAAAAACTTGCTAGCTGTCTACACTGGCCGCTTGAATTTGCACAAGAACACTGACAATCTAATGTAAGATTGTCAGTGTTCTTCTGCAAATACTATACTGCTCCCGTTTGGGAAAAAGCCCTCTTGCGCAAATGTATTTGCGCAAGAGGGCCAGTGTAGACAGCTAAAAACAGTTTTGCACAAAAAAGCCCCAATGGCGAAAATGGCAATCGGGGCTTTCTTGCACAAAACCGCGTCTAGATTGGCACGGACTCTTTTCCGCAAAAAGTGCTTTTGCACAAAAGCGTCTGTGCCAATCTAGACGCTCTTTTCCGCAAATGCTTTTAACGGAAAAACTTTTCTGTTAATAGCATTTGTGGAAAATCATGCCAGTCTAGACGCAGCCCTAGTGTCTACTGTGAGCAGAAATTTCATAGAAACTCCCCACCGATTTACCTCCTTCCTTATCTGGACATTATATTGCCATGTCTCCAGGACCACCCTATTTCATCAGTCACTGTATATGGTCCTGGTCTCAGCTCAATAAAGCTCCACAGCCAGCAGCTGTCTGACAAATCCTTTCCTCAGCACCCAGTAAAGTGGAACAATTTTCAGTTTGTGTCATTGGAGGTTATCTGGATCCATATTGTAATGAGAAAAAGCTGAGGTGCCTCAACTTTTGTTGTTCTCTTGTTTCACCCTGTTTCTGATGGGAAATCACCAGCACAGTCTTACTATCTTCTCCCAAAGAAGAAAACTCAAACAAACAAACTGATAGTGGTGGTTGAAAATAGCAACTCTAATCCCAGTCAGCAATGGGAAGATGCCAGCATTTGTTACTCAATTTTATCCTACTTTTTCTTCAACAAATGACAGTGGTTCAGTATTTGATTTCGAAGAAATGATGTCACAGAGGCCAAATTAAACTTGAGCACTCCTGCTCAAATCTGGAAGGCAAGTGCTAGATTCCCTTTCTGAGTATTAAATAAATCTGGAAGGCCATGTTTACACTACAGATAAGATCGAAGCAGCTGCAGTCAATTTTCCGGGGTTTGAATGAGCAGGTCTAATGAAGACACACTAATTCGAACTGAGAGGATGCTCCCGTCGATGCCAATAGTCTTGCTTCTATGAGGAGTAAGGGAAGATGGAGGAAAATGTGCTCCCATCAACTTCCCGCCGTGTGGACAACATCAAAATATGAGTTAAGATACTTCAACTTAAGCTACACAATTAACAAAGCAGAAGTTGCGAATCTTAATTTGAACATATCCCCTAGTGTAGACTGGAGAAAGGAAAAGCCCATTTCTGCTTCTATGGCTGTGGAAACAGAGTCAAATCCTCTTGTGTGCCTGTTATTATACCAAAAGCAGCCCAGGTCTTCTGGCAGAACCTTCCCTCACTTAGGGTATGTCTACACTACAGCACTAATTCGAACTAACTTAGTTCGAATTAGTTAATTCAAACTAACGGATCCAAACTAAAACACTAGTTCGAATTAGCGTTTTGCTAATTTGAACTAGCATGTCCACGTTAAGTGGACCCTGAACCGGGGTTAAGGATGGCCGGAAGCAGTGCCGGCAGAGCATCAGATGAGGACTTAGAGCGTGGAGATGCTGCCTCAGGCTAGCTGAGGGCTGTGCTTAAAGGGACCCGACCCCCACCCCGGACAGACAGTTCTCAGGGGTGCCCCGCTTGCAAAGCAGTCCTGGCTTGGAGTGCCCGGAGTACCCACACTGGGCACATCACAGCACTCGGCCATCAGACCGGCTGCACTTGCCGCAGGCTGCCATCTCGGGAGAGGGGGCAA